GAGATGCGGAACTTCAGGCTGAGCAGTTCTTCAAAGATGTGTGGTTCCCCATGAAGGAGCTGGAAGGGGGACTGCTCGTGGGAGCAGCGTGTCATGGTGCTGGCAGAGCACACAAAGACTAGCTGTTAGATAGAAGGTAGCAGAGAGGCAGCTGGTTTTCATTTGCATTCCCGGGGTGCTCATATGCAGGAGAGGATGGTTCTCACCCAGCCAACTCTTATTTCATGTGAGCCTTTCAACAGGATAACAGCATTTTGATACTTTCTAAGGGATCTCTGACTTGCACAGCCTAGAATTCATTGAATGGATCAAAATGACTTTGCAGAGGGCAGAAGTCCTAGGGTCTGCTCCCCAGTTTTACTGCTAATGTGATTTACGGTCTTAGGAAAGCTACTGTAGGTCTTAGTCTTTAGTTTCCCAGGCTCATAACTCCCATGAGGTAGAGCCATACTAAAGTATTTCAGGTCTGGAAAAAACATATTAAAACCACATCTGCAAGAGACATCCCAACACCTGTCATTCTCTTCAAGCAATCCCTGAACTGGTAGAATTTGAATTTGATCAGAGAGTGGGGAGAAAAAGGAGATGGCTTTGTTTGCACTCTTTCCCCTCTGTCAAGGCATACCTCTCTTGGAAATAAAGTGAAGTCAAGGCACAGACTGCTCCAGGTCCACATGTGAAGAACTCCTTAAGCAATGCTTTCTGAGTAACCAGTGCCTCCTGTCAGGAACAAGAAAGGAAAACCTGGCTGTTTGGGTAATCTGATTAGACACCTCTCCCCAGCAATACACTCAGCAAGCTCAGGTCAGCCAGATACCTGATAAGCCTCTTGCCAGAGGTCCTGTCCTCCGTGTACTTACTTGGCCCAGCTCTTGGGGGTGGAAGGTGACGATAGCCATGGTGTGGCCGCGGCTGGTGGTGCGCACCACAAGCTCCCGCCAGTGTCCGCCTTCATGGAAGAGGATGCAGGGGTCCAGCGGGGAGCGACGGATGAACTCCTCATAGCACTGAGTGGAGGGGAAACAGCACTTATCAGACAGCAAAGACAACTGCCCCGGTCTTAGCGTAACTCTGTGCACCCCAAAGGGGCGGCCGCAGGCAGGCAGTGGCCCTTTTCATTCTTCTTGTAACAGGCAGGCGGAGGTTCCCGGGCAGGTGCCGTGGGCGGGGCCGGTGAGCCCTCGCGGTAGGCCGCAGCTCTGGCTGGCGCCTCCTCTGGCAAACCCTGCCCCGCAGGGGAAAACGCGGGCGCTGGAAGGGGGCTGCAATTGGATGAGGCTGACGGGAATGACGTTATGGGCTTGGAGAGAAAAAGAAGAAAGAATAGCGCGGAAGGAGGAGGGGGAGGGGAGTAAATGAGCATCGTCGTCTTACAAAAGGACTAAATCAGTTCTTAGCGCCTTATCTCCTCTAGCAGACGAAGGTGATTGGTAGTCCAAAAATAGTTTGCTAGTGCTGGGGGGCAATGATGGAGGTCAGCCCAATATAGATAAACACAGAATTCTTCTCGCTGGACTCCAGGAGTCTTGTCTTCCTCTGTAATAAAGAACATGTAGCCCCTAATGTGGGTCAGTAACTCATACTATTGCAAATGTGAAGGGATGGGGACATTTTTCAGAATTCACTTACACTCTGAATTTTTTGCAAGGATAAGCTTTGCAATGTGGAATATTTTACATTATTGCAGCATCTATACAGGTTTTGGTGAAGAACATGACAAAAGATAAATACATGTTTCCAAAAGCTTACCGAGTTAGATGCACGTGTGAAGTTCAGCTGGCCAAAAGGCTGCAACAATTCAGTTAGGAATACTTTGTGTAGGAATACCCATCATGATGTGGTTTTCAGTTCGTGGTATGTTGTTTTTTGAATTTAAAAGTGATTAATTAAACTCGAGTCAGGGCATGGTAGATGGAAGTAAAGCAAATTCCATATACATTTGGGATGGCCTTGAGGTAGTCTGTAAAGACAAGAGATTGTCTAAAAATGTGGCCTGTTTCCTTTGTTCAGGATGCACAACTGGTAAGAGATAATTAAGTCACTGAGGCTCTAAGAGGAGGATTTTTCAGCATGTATATATTTGGGACTACATCTGTTTCAGTATTAAGAAAACCGGATATACTGCATATGAACACCCATCATCAATTTTTATAGAGATAAAATACTGACATTTTCCTGGAGTTTTAATATCTTTTCTTGCTGCTACGTTGTACTAAGCAGAAATTTATCTGAGACTGTTTCATGAAAATGTTCAAACATAGCCTGTGGTTATTAATATCCAGTCCAGTAGTGTTTAGGTGGCTTCCATCCTACATCATCTTGTCTTTCTCTGAAATTCCCCTGACATGATTCTGCCCATTCTGTGCAGTGTTTGAGCACAGGAGAAACATTTTCAGGTGTCTCTCTCAAAAAAAAAAAAATTGTTTCTGTCAAGACATTTTTCTCCAAATTTCAAAAAGTTTATTTTCATGAATAATTAAGAAAATAAGGAAAAACTGAAAACAGACAAACATCGAAAAACAAACAAACTCAGAGGTAACATGCTTCTTATGACACTCTAACATTTCAGACACAACACACAGGGATTCAGGCTCTGGAGACAGGACATCCTCCAGCTCACCAAAGCTGTATGTGGGATGAACAATGAGGTACCTGGAAACGTTCAGACCCTCATCTATCAGCAATAACTGACAATTCTATAAAGTTGTGGTAGTTGTGAAAAAAGGAATTTTTTTTCTTGCAAGTAAATAGGGAGCATGATGCTACTTGCCAACAGCAGACTGATATTTTGGAGTTCTTTGGGCAGTTCTGGGCCCCATCCCCTCACCAGGGATCCTTACTCTCTGCCAAGAGGGGTAAAGAGATGCCATTCCCTCATGTGAAGCCGACAAAAATTACTGTTATCAGGCTACTGTCCCAGTTTCAGAGCCTCTGCAAAGTGTGGAAATCAAGGAAGATGCAAATAGCGCATCCCATGTTTTCCCTGGATAAGCAGTCCAAAGAAAGGGCTGGGCACAGAGGCAGCAAAAGGAGGCTAAGGGATCTCTCAGACACAACAAACAGCACTTTTATGCTCAGTAGGTCCTTTCCCCCCTTGACAATGAAAAAGGAGGCGTAGATTTGTGGATGGGGCTGCACAAGCAAGCACAGGGACACTGGTTATGTTCTACCCAGCCACTGTTGCTACGAGTGCCACACAGCAGAAGTGCATCCAGGCTGGGTTCCAGCTGCCGTGGGGCTCATTGCTGATGCTCAGGGACTAATCTCCCCACTGCTGAGTTAGCATGACCACCTGCCCAAGTCTTTGCCCACGCTCTCCGGCTGGTTTTGCAGCTCCTGCTGAGGCCAGCACTACTCCAGCCAGGCTGCTAGCTGCCTCCAAACTGTCCTGGTGAAAGCTAGCTTGTATTTTTCTACATTACAGGGCAGTAGCAAAAGCAAGACTACAGTGTAGACATACCATGTGCCTCTCAGACCTCAAGTGCAACTTTATTTAGACAGACAAAAAATATAAATAGGTAAATAAAAAAGAAATTTTCTGGGTGATTTTGGAGAGCTGCCTTGAGGGTCCGTATTTCTCACATGCACTCAACTAGGATACCTTCATTTTGCCTTTCTCAGGAGCTGCTTCATGGATGAGTGGCTGCTCATCCCCGTTCACTGACAGGATCCTCTTTTCTGGCAGCTGCTCCTCAGGCTGGCGGGCAATCAGCAGACGACAGGTAAGCAGGATCCCAAAGACTAGGGCATGGGCGTAACGCTTGAGTGGATCCCCCACTAGCTGGTGGAAAAAGAGCACAGCCAGCACAAGGAGGAGGAGGAGAAAGTTGGCCACATCTTTGGGGCGACCAGGCACCAGTGTCATGACAATGCCACACGCCACTTCTAGGGCACCAATGCTCTTGCGGAGAAGGATGGAGCTGACTCCTATCTTCTTTAGCATGGGGAGGGCCCGCACGTAGCTTTTGTATGCTCGTTTCTGAAATCAAGCAGTAATAGTGTAGAACACCAGAATGTGAGAAAGTAAAGGCAAAGGTGACTTCCATTGCAATAGGCTGATGTGCAATATGACCTAAAGATCACTTCAATCATCGCAGACCCCTCTGCCACAATATCCAATCTGTATCCCTAGAGCTTTTGTTGGGGGGATATTAACACCGTCAACCTGCAATTCCCCCTTTATAAGCTGTTGTCTCCTCACTGGAAGACAGTTGTACAAGCTAGCACCCATCTTTGGATCTAGGACCAGGCCAGGTGTACCTTCTGAGGCCTGAAGTTACAATTGATAGAATAAGCAACACAGAACTATGTTGTTAAAAAAAAAGTACCTCCCGCTAAGAGTAGCTCATCCTTTATAATTAAATAACACACCTAGTCCCTGCAAAGCCAAAGCACAGCAAGTAAAAACCAAAGTCTCTTTCTCCCTCAAAGCAACTTAACAATATCCCAGTGTTTATGGGCAGTATGATATAAGCATGAGACTATACATGAAAGCTGAGATTCACCAACCCAGTCCTGTGCTTACATACCTTTATACTTTCTTTCCTCAGATGAAAGCAAGCTGACATTTGATATCCTTTGCTCCCTGGTTTATTCTGGATTTTAGAAGCAGTGTTAAATTGCAAGACTCAGTCTTCTTATACAGCTGCCTCATTGTTTCAGGGAAGAAACCACCTCTGTCCTTACACATGTTCAGGTTCTTGCATTTGAACATTAGGCTTATTGGTTTTGTTTGGGTTTTTTTCTTTTTCAATCAAGGAATTCCTTTATTTTTATGTTTTAATAAAGCTCCTAGTTATCAGAGGCACTGAAATTATTTCCACTTAACACTTGAGTATAGTATCCCTGCAGACATTCTTGCCACTGTGTTCTCTGCTTTCTAATCAGGGAGACGGAAATGGAAGCTGAATTTCGGGTACAGAGTTGTTCAGTTCTCACAGGCACTGATCAGATTGTAGATTTACTTCCATGTGATTTTAGAAACCTGCACTACAGGCACAGAGAACTTCCCCACTTCCCTGTAAATTTTGCTGCTTCCTTCCAAGAAGAGCTGACACTTCACATGTGGTTAAAAAATATACAGCGCTGTCATTTTTGCTACTAAATAATTGAAGATTTCATGACACATTTAAATGTATGCATTGTAAAGATGCATTTTAAACCTTCAATGAATAAAATGCTCTGAGGAGAGGTTTTTAAACAGTTGTGAAAAATACAGCTTTTTAAATAAATGTTCTATCAGCATGTCCTAGAGTACTCTGGTATTTTAAGTATTTTAATAGACAAACTAGTGTGTCTGTTTTTTGCAGAATGAAAAACTGCAGGTTTTGTGCAGTAGGTAGGTAACAGAGATTCTCCATTTGCTTCGGGCAAGAAACCATGCTTACTGATTGGCAAGATCTGGTTTTCACTGTCTCCATTACTACAGACCACCCTGGTATGCAGCACAGCAAAAGCATGCGAGTATAATGAGCCCTGAACATGTTATAATATGGGCTATTAAGAATGATGGAGCTGTATAATATCTGAGTACCTCTGCTGTCTTTTTGTAAAAATGGAGATCATTCCTACCTGTACGCCTGACTCTTGGTAAAGCAGAAAGGGGACAGAGAAAATAAATATTTTACAAACCAAGGATTTTGCAATGCTTCTAAAGTCTCAGTGCTTTTTATCTGTCCCTTATGTAGCAGAAGCTTAAGAGCTTTGTTTTCTGGGCATTTTATCATAGTCTCTTGCTCCTGAGTTACTTCTTGGTGATTCTTCTCTGCGAGATCCCCGTGCTGGGCTGTAGACAAGGCACTGCGATTCAGATGTTATTTGAGAGCTAGGAAAAAGCAGCTGGGCAGGTGGAGCAAAGGAAGAGAATAGAATGTGCTGGAAACTTCCAGCACTATTTTTTAGAGGCACAAAAATTATACCAATGCTTTTCAGCCACTGAAATAAATATAAGGGGGAGGGGGGAAGCAGGTGGCAGGAGAATAAACAAACATAGACAGGGAAGCAAAACATAGCAGCCAGTCCCTTGTCTGCCTGCAGCTCGCAGGCAGCAAAGCTCTGCAGCAGGGTTGGCCCTGGGCAGAGAGGAGTACAAACTGGCTCACCAGCTGAGAAATGCACACAGTGACTTCTTCCCGACAGCCCTTTCCCATTAGGCAAGAGGAGGAGAGGTTCATTTCCCAGGATGAAGAGAATAGTAAGGTGACAGTATAATATCTTCTTCAGCCAGCTACGAATATCAAAGCATTTCACAGTCCTAATTAATCCCTGCACAAGTCCGGTGAGGTGGGGACAGTCAGTGTCATTATCTTTGCTTTAAAGCACAGAATTTTGAGGATGATCATTTGGCTGCCAAAGCAGGCATCTGCTCTTCCTATCCCCAGTCCAGCCGTACCTACCTGATACATGTTCTTTGCAGAGACCCTTGTGTCCCCATCCTCTGCAGGCACTGGGGTGCTGTGCTCCCCTACCCTCCTCGCAGCGCCTCCCCGTCCCTACCCACAAGAGGTTTCTCCATGGCCAGGCTCAGAGCGAGCCCAGGCGAGGGCTGCCAGGATATCCTCGGCACTGCGTATTATTTGTTTCTCTCCGAGTCCATCAAATAAGGAGACAGAGAAGCTTCTTCCCTTCTCCCCTCTCGCCACCATCGTTCCAGAGCTGTCACCTCTCTCTACCCCGCTGCGAACGCTTATTTTGCCGCAAGGTTGAGGGGAGGGAGCCCTAACGCATTTCCCTGCGTGCTGCCGTACTCACCATCTCGTTGTAGGCATCTCTGCTGAGCCGAGGGGTCAGCTTGATGGTCCCCATAAAGACAAAGAAGAGCCCCAGGGCCACCGAGAGCGCGACGATAGTGATAGTCCTGGGCGATGCCATGGAGCCGCCGGGAAGGGTCCTAGCGAGGCCTCCTCCCTGCGGCTGCCAGCCCGGGCGGGAGGTAGCCAGTCACCATTGAAGGAGCTGAGGACTGAAGCTGCCGAGGCAGCGAGGACGACAGCAGGAGGGATTCAGCCTCCTCCGCTCAGCAGCTCCGGGTCCTAATGCCCCCAGGCGGGCAGCCAGCGTTCCCTGTGTCC